TAATAAAAATTTAAACCATATATTTTTATCACTTACATATATGAAATTCATCCAATGTTTGGTTGTATGTATGAGCAGCATGTATTTAATCTGTTGTATTCATTATTTTCTATTCGATTAATATCTCGAAAACTAATAAATACCTAAGGATGCAAATTTTGGATTTACGTTCCACTCCCCCCGCTGTCCACGTGTAAAAATTTTAAATCAATCGTCACATGAATGAAAGTTTCATAAGACCAACTGCTACGCAATTCGAATTCATCGATCGGATCGTTTCAGTTCCAACATTGGATTTTTAAAGGTCCGAATAAAGCTGCCGCGCGCTTATCTCGACGGTGACATCGCGTTCAAGGAGGAAACGAGAGAAGCTAATGGAGTTTATAAAAAAATCAAAAGGCATCGGTTATCGGAGACAAACCACGGGTTACACAGGAGGTAAACCATTTTGTGCGCTCGGTATGCGAGCTGGCATATTTCCGAGAAGAGACCTCGTCGAGGTTTATAGCGCGAGTTGTACCTACATCGATGCCCGGGGACCCTCTTCCAGGCACTCTTCGGCACTGAGAAAGGAAGAAAAGTTGGCTAAGCCTGCCGCCGAGGCTAGTTGGTGCTAATGAAGGAGGCACAGACCGACCGATGTGTACTTTGCCACTTAGCGGGTCCTGTCGTGCCTCGACCCCGAATCGTGCACGTTGCGCTATGCTCGCTGCAACGGTGTGTCTCCCTTTTTCTTTCGCACCAGCTATTACGAAATTCTGCCGACCGAGAAGTAGGCGTCCTTTGTTCAGGCTAACTAAAGGGAAAAAAGGGGCTCGCTTACAGGTGCACAACCGACGCTTTCCAGTCTACGAATCGGGGGAACGGAATGTTTATGAGATAAGCGCGCCTAACAAATATTTCGTTTATAACGGGATTGTTCGATCTTTAAAAATAAATTTACATGTTCGACGTGCAGATTTCTTGTAGATGGTAAGAAAAGCATTGGATAATTGATATTATATTCGATTAGGAAACAGATTTCTTTAATTGGTGGACGTCTTGCGGTGAAAAATGTAATATCACGATTATGAAGTTTTACTACATGCTTTGTTTGCAGACCACACGAGAATGGGTGTAAGCATCATAGGTAGAAGAATGGAAGGAGGCAAGTCTGCAGGGTGGCCCTTTTGCTGGAGCCTCGTTAAATTCAAGTGGTTCTCGTCGGGTGCCTTCCCAACATCGAAATCAAGAATGTCCCCGAACTGCCTCGTAAACTCCCTCTTTCTCCCTACTGTCTCGCTTCTCCTTTCCTCCTTCGTTCTTCTTTCACATTTTGTTTTTTGTTTCACCGCCCTCGTACGAGTCTTCGGGTACTCAGAAAATTCACGGGAGAACTTAATCTGAGTCCGTTCACCGGTAGACCAACCGTTCTCTATCCACCGCGCCAATTAATTGCATCACTTTTGTTAATTAATTGAATCCATTTTTCAGCGGATGTCTATCGCGATGACACCCCACTTGGTCAGCGGGTCAATTTGTCCCCTTCTCTTCTCTACCACTATATTTGTCTTATCTCGTTGCCGAGAAATTGCTCTTTCTCTGATTGGAGTTAACAAGCTGCTGGCACCTCGAAAGAATTATGCATATGCGCATTCGTTATGTTTATCCTACACACATTTATACAAATTCCTATTTTTAGTATCATGATTAAAGAAAACTTCGCATATTTTTAATTTATTTATAGAATTGAAAGTGTTCAACAAAAACATGTGCACGTTGTTGTCTCGCAGTAATTAATTATATCAATTTCATTAGCGAGGTCACTATGATCTCATAAACAAACCGAATATTAAATTTCATGGTCCAAAGGTTGACGAATCGTCGGTTGATTCAATTTGTTAATAGAGCCATAAAAGTGTAAAAAAAAAATGTTTTGTCATCGAGTTGCAATAAAATTGAATATCGTTGTTTTCGTTGGAACCGATAAAACTTGGCAAACGCATTAGACACTAAGTACCGTTTAAGCCGCTGTCGAATTGGGAATTACGAAAATCGCCAGGTAAAAATCGAGTTGAACGAGATTCGCGAACGTGCAACCATAATGGGCATTATCAAGTTCCGTCACAGGCTCGAGTAAACAACTTGGGGGAAATTTTTCGCGCTCTTCCGTTTCGCGATACGTTTCACTGGTATGTATGCATACGTACACTCCTGCTCAAAAGTGGCATTCTGGAAATTAATTTTTTGATTGCTTCCGGTTCAATATTATATAGTTTCATAGATCGGTTTTGGATATTAGGTACTTTTCTCTAATTAACAATACAAATTGTTATACTAAGTTCAACTATAAGACATACTAATATAAGTATAATATTTTCAAAAAAGGATTTGTGTGGAAACATTTGTTTCATTCAGAAAGTAAAAAGTGGTCCAAACTTTTGAACGAGTTTGTACATGTATACGTGTATGCGTATTTGCGGATAAAAGTAATGATAACAAGTTAATAGCTAATACCATCCGATTTCGAAGATGATACGTGCACTACGCTGTTTGCTCGAGTTCAGTCAGCTATTACTGAACTTTACTATACATACATACTTCCGATACCTATGCAGTGCGCCCGCTGCTGTCGCGAGGCAATCGCGACGCGAAACTTTGACGGTACGTTCTGAAATGATGCTTATCGTTATCAAATAAGAGAAATGGGATTGTTCTATGTTACCGTACGTTGCTCCGAGAGCAGTGCCTGTATGTGTACAAGCCTGTTCTGTTGTTACATATACGCACACGTATAGGAACTTGCCAGACGTACGATGACTGGAGACAGGCGTCACCGGTACACTGATTGCAATGTTTTGTGTAACCAACTGGTGAACGATCTCTTTCCTACTTGAAGGCTCGTCAATGAAGTTTCCGATTCTTAGAACATATCGGTCTCTTCGAAGAAACTGTACGATTCGAAGAGCTGTACTACAGGGAGCATTGAACAGAAAATCTCGCTCTAGTTATATTCTCTCATCCATATTTCATCAATTATTAGATTATTTTTTAGCGCACTGTTGTAGGCACTGACATCCTTTATAAGAAAGATTCTATGCATTTT